GCCAGGTTTTGGTATTAGGATGATGTTGGTCTCATAAAATGATTTGGGAAGGGTTCCCTCTTTTTGGATTATTTGGAATAGTTTCAGAAGGAATGGTACCAGATCCTCTTTGTGTGTCTGGTAGAATTCAGCTGTGAACCCATCTGGACCTGGGCTTTTTTTGTGTGGTAAACAGCATGGTACTGGTACCAAAACAGAGATATAGACCAATGGAACAGAACAGAGGCATCGGAGGCAACACAACATATCTACAACCATATTATCTTTGATAAACCAGACAAAAACAGGCAATGGGGAAAGGATTCCCTATTTAATAAATGGTGTAGAGAAAACTTGCTAGCCATGTGCAGAAAGCAGAAACTGGACCCCTTCCTGACACCTTACACTAAAATTAACTCCAGATGGATTAAAGACTTAAACGTAAGACCTGACACCATAAAAACCCTAGAAGAAAATCTAGGCAAAACCATTCAGGACATAGGAGTAGGCAAGGACTTCATGAACAAAACACCAAAAGCATTGACAACAAAAGCCAAAATAGACAAATGGGACCTAATCAAACTCCACAGCTTCTGCACGGCAAAAGAAACAGTCACTAGAGTGAATCGGCAACCATCAGAATGGGAAAAAATCTTTGCAGTTTACGCATCTGACAAAGGGCTGATATCCAGAATTTACAAAGAACTCAAACAGATTTACAGGAAAAAAACAAACAAGCCCATTCAAAAATGGGCAAAGGATATGAACAGAAACTTTACAAAAGAAGACATACATGAGGCCAACAAACATATGAAAAAGTGCTCATCATCATTGGTCATTAGAGAGATGCAAATCAAAACCACATTGAGATACCATCTCACACCAGTTAGAATGGTGATCATTAAAAAATCTGGAGACAGCAGATGCTGGAGAGGATGTGGAGAAATAGGAACACTCTTACACTGTTGGTGGGAGTGTAAATTAGTTCAACCATTGTGGAAGACAGTGTGGCGATTCCTCAGGGACCTAGAAATAGAAATTCCATTTGACCCAGCAATCCCATTACTGGGTATCTATCCAAAGGACTATAAATCGTTCTACTATAAGGACACATGCACACGAATGTTCATTGCAGCACTGTTTACAATAGCAAAGATCTGGAACCAACCCAAATGCCCAACGATGATAGACTGGACTGGGAAAATGTGGCACATATACACCATGGAATATTATGCAGCAATCAAAAATGATGAGTTTGTGTCCTTTGTAAGGACATGGATGAATCTGGAGAACATCATTCTCAGCAAACTGACACAAGAACAGAAAAAGAAATACCGCATATACTCACTCATAGGTGGGTGAGAAAAATGAGAACAGATGGACACAGAGAGGCGGTCTACTATACACTGGGGACTGTTGGGGGGAATGGGGGAGGGACAGCAGGGGGGGCTGGGGGGTATAGCCTGGGGATGAATACCAAGTGTGGGTGAAGGGGAGGAAAGCAGCAAAGCACACTGCCATGTGTGTACCTATGCAACTATCTTGCACATTCTGCACATGTACCCCCAAACCTATAATGCAATAAAAATTTTTAAAAAAAAAAAGACATATTGTTAGCTCATTTGGGGATTTCATTTGTTTTTCTTATATCTAAAGACTACATTAAAGGCTATCATAAATGCCACCATAGATATTCAAAATATTCGGACAAAAACAAAATGGAGTTATAAATTCAAAGAGAAAGCTAACCCTTATTCATGAAAGTCCAAAGAAGATAACCACCTGCAAACAGCTCACACAGCCTTGGGGAAGATAGAAGAGGAAATTGCCTGTCAGAGAAGCTCCCTTTACAGGACTAGATTAGCCTCCTCTCCTTAGGTTGAAAGTTTCCCACTGACCTCAAAGAAGTGCTCAGATCAGAGAAATGTGGAGCTGGGCTGAATAATTGCAGTGAGGTTGGGGCAATCTTAAAGAGATTCTCTTTTGAGCTGTACCCAAGATGACATTATCATATTATCAATGATAAAAGGGTTGTGGGGTCAGACTACTGAGCCACAAAGGCACTCTTAAGCATCAAAGAGAAGATAAGAAATACATTCAAATAAAAACAGAAATTCAAAATCATGAGATATGGATACACTTCCTTGCTGTAAGAGTGACTGTGACAAATTAGAAACTGTTTCTGCGTGGGACTGGCTTTGCTAGTTATCACCGGGTTCAGGGGCAAAAAGCATATATATATATATATATATATATATATATATATATATATATATATATATGTATATTTGTCCCCTGAACCCGGTGATAACTAGCAAAGCCAGTTATATATATATGCATGTGTGTGTGTGTGTTTGTGTGTATGAAGAAAGAGGAGTCACTGTAACCCAGTCCACCATAATACAATAGCTTAATGTTGACACAAGCACAATTTGTGAAGCAGGATCTTGCCAATACACATGTATAATCACACCCTGCACAAAGAAATAGAAACACTCTACTGAGGTGAGATGGCCCAAATAATACAAATACAGTTGACTCACAAATCATAAACTGAGAAGCTGAACAGGGATTGAATAGTCTAGCAGTAAAGTCTAAAATGGTGTTGCTGGTAAAAAGTAATAATAATAATAATAATAATAATTAGTGGATAGATTTATGCAGTTTCACAAACCAGCAGGAAATAATTGGACTATCTATTTTCCTCCTGCTGTACACTAACAGTTATCAGTCAAGCTGGAAATATGTTCTTACAAACTAAGCTAGAAATGTGATTTAATGTTCCTGATAAAATATCAATTCAAAGACCTGATGAGTATTAGAATTAAGGAAAGATTTAGTGTTGATTAAGGAAAGATTTAGCACAAAGGAAACAAGACTTGAATTCTAAAGTCCTCTAATGTAAGGCTGAATGTGTTGAGTGTGTTAATAAATATTTGAGTAACACAGAAAGGAGAGATTAATGCCAGTTTGGGTTGAATAGAGGAACATATGTGATAGGCAAAGAACCACAGACAAATGACATAAAAATAGAGAATGCTGTCAATGTCTTGTACATAGAAGACCCTCCGAATAACAGTTTTAATTTCATTTACCATTCAAGAAGATGAAGGTTTGCCAATTTTTAAAATAGAGGAACCCTTCATTTGCTTTCTACACCAAAAATACTTATATTCCTCAGCTCTAGTAGCTATCTTTACAGTATCTTCCATGACTCCCATACTGGGTACACCCCCAGCAGATGAAAACCTCTTGAATCCAACGTGAATGGGTTTGGGTCCTCTCTCCCAATCTCCCTTGTCCACACTAAACATGGAGCCTAGATAAAAGCCTACTCAGATGTACAGAAAGAGAAAGCCTTCACCTACTTATTTTCACACTGAGGTTAGCATTAAGCCCTAAAAGCAGTTCATTCTGGCCATGCTGAGCCTCACCTCTAGCTACCAATTAGCCCTACTGTTCCTTAAATTCTGTGACTGCTTCCCTGTTTGCTTCACAGATAGAGGGCCAGCAGGATCCCACCTCTTAGAAAACAAAAAGCAGTGGGATTGTGTGTTTATATGGTATCAGCTGTGTGTTATGACAGGCTTCTCAGCAGAGAACTGCCTGAAACTCCTCTGGAATAATTTCCACAGAAGCAAAAGATTCTTTATGTATTGGCAATAACAAGACATGCCAGATTATGCATAGATGGTCACTGGATGGATTAAAAAACATTCATAGAGCACATTATATGCAAATTATATACATCAGGAGTATGACTGCCATATTTAGCAAGTAAAAATACAGTATGCCTCATTAAATTTGAATTTCCAGTAAATGACAAATAATTTAGTATAAGCATGTCCCATATAACATTAATAATATAAGTATCAATTATATTTACAAATTGATATGATTTGGCTGTGACGACACAAAAATCTCATCTTGAATTGTAGCTCTTATTTCCTTTTGGAGAATTATCCTGTTCAGCAATCCATTTTAGTCATGGAAAGGTAGCCCGCCAGGCGTGGTGGTTCACACCTGTAATCCCAGCACTGTGGGAGGCCGAGGTGGGCAGATCACAAGGTCAGGGGATTGAGACCATCCTGGCTATATGGTGAAATCCTGTCTCTACTAAAAATACAAAAATTTATCAGGGTGTGGTAGCACACTCCTGTAGTCCCAGCTACGCAGGAGGCTGAGGCAGGAGAATGGCTTGAAACTGGGAGGCAGAGATTGCAGTGAGTGAGATCGTGCCACTGCCCTCCAGCCTGGGTGACAGAGCAAGACTCCAACTAAAAAAAAAGCACAAAAACAAAAAGAAAAGAAAAGGTAGCCAACATGGTTTGGCCAGGATAAGCAAGGACAAACAATGAGAAAGGTGAATTGCCAGGCATGAAAAGGGAGAAGAAATTGTGACATTCTGGTACAGCACTACAGAAGAGGTATGAGAGATTTTTGAGTTGGGCAGAACCATGCCAAGAAGCTAAAAGACGGAGGAAATTTTAGCCAGCAAGAAATTCCCTTTAGCAGTCCAGGGAAAAGAACCCAAGTGGTGAAATACTTCATCTTACATCGTCATCTGTGCTATTTTGTTATCTAAGTCTCTGCCACTGCCCAGAAATCTTCAGTAAAAGTTATGCCCAGTTGATGTACAGAGAGACATTTAAGAGATGAGGGAAAATATCTGCGCACCCCATTCAAGTCTCTGCAGGACAGAAGGTACACAGCAAGCTGGGAGCAAGATGCCTGTAGGAGAGAAAGACCACAAACAGAAAATTGAAGGATGAATTTGTGACACCTCTGGGAATCCACAGAAATCTTCAGAACAGGAACACGCGATTTGAAGTTAAAGCACTTTTATTTAAATCTCAAAAAAAGCAAAAATCCCAGCTAACACCTGGCTCTGTGTATGTAAGGCAACCTCTAAAGGTGCAACATCTGATAGTTCAAGAGTAAATGATTACGTGTATAGATCTCCCAGCATTCATGCTTGACTCTTTCTGTTACTAGGCGAGTAAAACTTCAATCGGATTGCCTGGTTCCCACCAGGAGTCGAGTCCAAGCCCAGGCCGCCTGGGTGAAAACCAGGAATCCTAACCGCTAGACCTAGCTCGGAGGCTCTTGGCCTCTCTAACTCCAAAGAATGGGGACGGGGGCCCCAGAGGCACGATGAGTTTACCGTTGTAATAAAAATCGTGGACCCAGAGTTTTGTGGAAGAGCGATTTATCAGACAGAGAGAGAGAGAAAAGGCAGTTCCCACACTGTCATGGAAGGAAAATCCAGAGAGGGAATCTGTTCAGGTAGGAGCAACTCAAGTTTTAACCCTTGAGTTATTCCCTCCCCATTCATTTTCTCATCCAATGAGAGGAGTTCTTTCAAATTCCTCAGGATTGATTGATCTTTGACTCTGATACCGGATTGGCTACTTGTTTTACAACCCTGAGTCACAGAGCCCCCTCCTCCATGAGCTCTGGTGTGAATTTAGGGGACAAAAGCCCTACCTGACTGGAAGATAGATAAAGAACTTTACCTGGCCAGCATGGAGGAGGTGCTCAAAGAATCCTAGTCGCCTGAGGCAGGGAGCCAGGAAATTCCCATACTTGGAACCACGCCCCTCACGGACCCAGGAAGAGAAGTTTCTTTAACACAGTCCCACATTTCGTTCCCCTTGATCCTTTTTTAGAAAATCTTAGCACCTCCACCAATGTTCATTTAATCTCAGAGAAAGATAGGACTACTCAGATCGATTTATTTTCTCTTTTACCAACTCTGGCACAAGCTGTTATTGGGATGTTTCCATTTCATGACTCTGCACATGTTTACACAGCCATAAGTGTTTAAGTGAGAAATACTGCTTTGCTCCTACTTCACTATCTCTATGTATGTGAATGTGTGGTATGCGTGCTCATGTATAAACACCCCAACGAACTCCAATGAGTATATGATCATACTATTTCCTGGAGTGAGTCAATTTATTCTGTAATCTATAAAGACAATGAAACTATCTTTTTGCAACTGCTTGCAATCTTTCTCTGCTGTGGTACCAATGTTTTCCCAAAAACTAAGTACTGGTTTATGATCCCAGTGACAAATTAACACAATGTTTTATTATTCCCAGAATAATGACCTCAGAAAGATTTTATTTGGCAAGCAACCTGGATGGTTGAGGAATGAGGGCAATTCCTTGAATATAATAGTTGACACTTTAGAAAGTTTCCTTCCTGATAGGAAATTGCAGAGAACAGAGCATCTATAATCCAAAATGTCTAATAAGCCAATGGGGACATTAGAGAATGGTCACAATGTTTTATTTATGTTTAAATGTTTATGTAACAGTCATAGCTAGAGGGAAACTTGCTATTGCCTTCTTTGCAATTATTATGTTGTTGTTTCTGTTTTACTATTTATTGTAAAACTACAAAAAAAAGGAATTGATGAATTCACATGATCCTTGGAATATGTTCACGATCCCACTGCTTGCTTTGGAGTGGTTTTCTGGGGGATTGTTTGTTTGTTTGTTTTGAGACAAAGTTTCACTTTTATTGCCCAGGCTGAAGTGCTGTGGCATGATCTCAGCTCACTGCAACCTCTGCCTCCAAGGTTTAAGCAGTTCTCCTGCCTCAGCCTCCCAAGTAGCTAAAATTACAGGCATCTGCCACCACCCCTGGCTAATCTGTGTGTGTGCATGTGTGTGTGTGTGCTGTGTGTGTGTTTAGTAGAGATGTGGTTTCACCATGTTGGCCACACTGGTCTGGAACTCCTGACCTTAGGTGATCCACCCGCCTCAGCCTTCCAAAGTACTGAGATTACAGGCATGAGCCACCATGGCTGGCCCCTTTGGAATGCTTGAGAAATCAGCACAACTGGTGTCTTTCATCTTGAAAAGGACATGATATTGCAGAGCTACCTGGCTGGTTCCCTAGTTAACTATACTAGAGCATACTTGACCTTTGGTGACAGCTTTCTAACATGCTGACTCCTGCCTCTTTTACTTATTGATGTTGCCTATTCTGGTTAGCATTTATCATGATCCTCTGAGCTGTTTCCCATTGACTGCACCAGCGTTAGTTTCTCTATAAGTTTTGCAATAATTGCCATATCTATTTCAAAAACTCAAAGCAACAAAAATCTACCATTCAGCAACACCACTTGTTTTTAATTGTCCCCATTTCAGCGCTTTTATCAATAGATACTTATGCACACTATGAATTTGTTCACATTCATTTCGTCATATGGTGTATCATTAATTCAATAATTAGCTTGCCCAGATGAGCACACACATATTTCTGGAATCACACAAGATGCTAGGCCTTTTAAGGAAAAAAACAGATCTATCCCTAACGTCATGGCACATATAGTCTAAAAGTGCTTACTTATTCAAGTCAAAACAGAGTCCTTAATGACAGATCGTTTTTGCAAGCTACGAGAATTTTAAAGGCATGGTTTTTCTCAAGAAAATCACTTTCTCATTATTCCCGGGTCATTCGCTTCTGCTTTTTGCCATTCCCCTAGCTGTATTCATTTTCACTTATCAGAGAGGTGTAAATTGATGAAAATTAAATATTTCCACTTTATTTAATATTGCAGTTTAGGGTAAAAGATTGGAACTACAGGCTAAAATCAATTTGGAATACAACTAATTTTTTTCATTCTAATCCTCATTTAGAAATTTGGCCTGAGGACAAGTGAAATAGAATGCACGCTGAATGTTTGTCAAAATGAAATGCAAATAGTAAGGTGATATTACAGACTCACATTGAGATTTTATGTATATATGGAGGACACAGCGCCATCCCAGAGCAGGACTCTCAGGACATCATCTGCTTCCTTTCTGGTCCCCAAATGAATCACATGATTCTGAACTGGAGGCAAGGACTAGAATATTACAAAACCACGTTGACTCTGGTTATCTGTTAAGGTAAACTTGAGTCCAAGGAGCAGAAAGTGTTATGTGCCAGGCAATGCTGATGGGATGGTAGGGTGCATAGCAATGGAAGATAATAATCTCTCAGGGAACAATTCTCACACTTTCAAGGTCATTTTCCTATCTTCCTATCTATGCACCAGGCATCTTAAAAGGAAAGGAACACAGAGGGAACTGAGAAATCAGAGCTTTCTTTGTGGCTCTGTCTCTTTTCTGCATCTTGCTGTGTTAACAGAGCCCTTCTTGATGCCCACCATCCACCAAAAGCACCCAAGGAGTCCACGGAAAGTGAGAAGCGGGGACAAGGTCAAACAGGAGAGGCCCACTGGGAGACACTGAACACACGGAATGAGTGGAGTGGAAGAAGAAATGCGTGGTCTCATTAGTAATGAGGTATCAGTGATGATGCCTTCAAATCCAGCAGACCTCTGGGCAGAGTTCCAGGCCTGAATTAGGATTCTATAGTCATTTTTAAGAGAAAGCACTTTTCCTAAATGTCACTAGCTTTTACTTTAGTCACCTCTGCCCAGATCTCATTAAAGTTCCTGGCCATTGCACTCATTTTATCTTCTAAGTACAAGTGAGAAACAGGAGTGGGTCAATGCTCACACCAACCGAGCACTTGAAATAAGAACTTGAGCAGGACACAAGAAGCAGAGACGATGGGACACCACCAGCCTATGAAAATGTGCTGCAGCACATTGAAGCTGGAGGCATCAAACTGGCATCTTCTACACAGACACAGTCGCTCTTTCTACTATTTAGCGCCATAGAGCTTGAAGGCCCATCAGAGAGCATCTCATCTCAGCTAATCCCTTTCCTAAAGGCCACAGGAACAGTTCCATTAACATGTGGCTAGCCCAACACCACCCAGGCTCTCCAATTTCCAATCCTGCACTCATTTTACTGCTAATAATAGCTCTACTATTTGTGGTGCCTATTATGTACCAGGTATTTATTCTAAGCGCTTTACAGGTGTTGCCTTCCTTAATCCTACAGCCACCCCCATGATGCAGGTATGTTTTACTGTTGCCATTTTCAGGTGAGGAATCTGATACCCAGCGTGGGTGCATAACTTGGGCAATTCCAAAACTGACAAAACGGCTGAGCTTCCTATGCTAAATCCACACACTCTGCTACACCCAAGATCCACACACTCTCCCACACCTAAGATCCATGCTTATTCCCCACCACCAACCTTCCGCTTCCTTCACCCCAGGGACACATCTGTGGACAAGACTGGCTACTTGGTGCTTCCTTTAGCCCCACTTCATCATGCAGTAAACTGCTAAATTCTGATTGGTACCTGTGTGGCACACATAAAATTTCAGAACACACAGTTGTAAATGTAATAATGCTCAGTTATCTCTCTAAAGTTGAGGGAAAAGAATAATAGCTTGTTTGTCCTCATTCTTTCCAAGATTCTTGTTTCCGGAAACGCTTTAAGCAATTTCATGCCTAAGAGGAACTTCATTCTCTCCAGTTTCAACACCTTTAGTTTCACGTAAAAAATAAAAAAATGTATAATCATGAAATAACAGGGGGAATAAGAAAGCTGATATAATAGTGAGCTAAATCTTTACTGGCTTTGATAAATTAAATACCAAATTGGCAATTGAACCCCATGCCGGAAGCAGAAATGTGTGCGAAGCCACAGGTTAATTATACCAAACCCCTTGCAGTTATGAAAACTTCCATTGCTCATAAACCACCAACCAGGGCTGCCTGAGGTTGTCTGCTAGCTTTTCCTTTTATTTTTTTAATTTCTGGTGCAACAAAAAACCACCCTTTGAATAAATAAGCTGATAAATAACTTTTTTTTTTCCTGCTGTACAGAACCTGAAGCGGGTAGCTGAGACCTGGATGGATGAATTTGCCGAGTACATTTATCAGCGGCGGCCAGAGTACAGGCATCTCTCCACGGGGGACATCTCTGCCCAAAAGGAGTTGCGCAAGCAGCTAAAGTGCAAGGACTTCAAATGGTTCATGGCTGCAGTGGCCTGGGACGTGCCTAAATACTACCCTCCAGTGGAGCCCCCGCCTGCTGCCTGGGGGGAGGTGAGGAAAGGTTGCATGAAACCTGCGCCGCCTACCTGTGAGACTGTATTCCTTCCCTGTAGCCTCGGGTGGTGGGAGGGACTGCTAACACCTTCACTTTTACCCTCCAGCCAAGCAACATTCATTTAAA